ACTCTTGCGACCACCCCGTGAGAGCCCTCTGCGGCCATGAGAAGGTGGGGTTGTGGAGTGCTAGCAAAGGGATACCTAATACCACAGGGAAAGCAGGAGACTCAATAATCGAAAAAATAACCTGCTCATAATGTGTCTCCTGGGTGATCATGGTGACTGGTATAGTGACTTCCGTAACAAACCCGGACCCTAATGGTCGACTATCGAGTGCTCTGATGGGGAATGGAATGGATAGGGGAACCAATGAAATGCCTTGACGGCGTGCGAATGCCCTGTCCATACAATTCCCAGCTGCGCCTGAATCGACTAGCGCCTTACACTGGGGAACGAGTATGTGATCGGGAAAGTGGATAGGTAGGGTACAGTGTGCAGCAGACGGCTCTGAACAAGTGTGGGTATTCAATACCTGGGGTGATGCGTGAGTGCCCTGCCTGCCGCCTCCAGGCCCAAAAGAACGTTGACTACGATGTGTGGTGTACTGTCCCTTCGTGCCACCAGGTGGCACTGTCGCTGTCCTCCTCCGCGCTCTCGGCTGGCGGCTCCACCCAGCTCCATCGGCTCGGGATCCGAGTCATCCGGGGTGGAAACGGGCAGACCCCTACCAGGACGTCCTCTGGCTGCCAGCAGGTTGTCCAAACGGAATGGCCATGTCCACCAGTTTATTGAAGGACAACATGGTGTCCCGGCAGGCTAGCTCCCGTCGGATGTCCTCCCGCAGATGGCACCGGAAATGGACGATCAGGGCCCGCTCATCCACCCGGACCCCGCTGCCAGCGTCCGAAACTCCAACGCGAAGTCCTGCGCGGTCCTCGTCCCCTGCCTCAGGTGGACCAGCCGCTCGCCCGCCTCTCGTCCCTCGGGCGGGTGATCAAAGACCGCCCGAAAGAGGCGAGCGAACTCCCCGTAGTCCTCCAACGCGGCTCCTCCTTCGTTACACACCACGTTGGCCCACTCCAGGGCTTTCCCACAGAGGCAGGAAACGAGGACGGACACCTTCTCCCGCTCCGATGGCGCCGGCCTAATGCTGGAGAAGTACAGCTCCATTTGGAGGAGGAATCCCTGGCACAGCGCCGCCGTCCCATCAAACGCCCGTGGTCGGGATATCGGGATCCCTCCGGGTGCTGGGGTGTAGGTGGCTGGATCCGGTTGGCCAGCTGGTCTCGACAGATCGGGTCCTCTCCTCTCCAGGCATTGGACGACCTGAAGAACCCGATCCATCGCTTCCCCCAAGCTGGCCAGCATCGTGGAATGCTCTTGGACCCGTGCCACGACTCCAGGCATGCGCTCTTCTCCCGCTGACTCCATAGCGGGTGGGTGATTCTGTGATGAGTGTGATGGAAAGGAGTCAGGCGCAGGAGGGTAATCACCGAATACCGAGTTTATTCCTTCGTAGACACACAAATGCGCTCAAATAGCGATCAACGAAACAGGCACAGGGGAAACTATCATCCCTGGCAAATACACTGTAATGGATATCCAATAATACATAGGCACAGGGGGAAATCTACCCTGGCAACAATATGTTATGAGTAGCTCCACCGAGCTACACTACTCTCACAAATAACAATCACCCACAAGGACAAGGGGGCAGAGGGAATACTTATACACAGACTAATTAGGGGATAGGAACCAGGTGTGTGTGATTGACAAGACAAGACAATTGTGATGATGATTGGGGCGGCAGTGGTTAGTAAGCCGGTGACGACGAACGCCGAAGTCAGCCCGAACAAGGAGGGGAGGCAGCCTCGGCCGAAGTCGTGACAATATCATACTAAATGTAGTATTTCGGATTTTACGTACAGAATAATACAAAATGCTCTGGGACCAGGTTGGGTGCATAGGGAATGAGCAAAATAAAGTATGCCCACAAGCTAGTGTAGGCTGCTATGTGTGCATAAACATACAGTGGGGAGAACAAGTATTTGATACACTGCCGATTTAGCAGGTTTTCCTACTTACAAAGCATGTAGAGGTCTGTAATTTTTTATCATAGGTACACTTCAACTGTGAGAGATGGAATCTAAAACAAAAATCCAGAAAATCACATTGTATGATTTTTAAGTAATTAATTTGCATTTTATTGCATGACATAAGTATTTGATCACCTACCAACCAGTAAGAACTCCGGCTCTCACAGACCTGTTAGTTTTTCTTTAAGAAGCCCTCCTGTTCTCCACTCATTACCTGTATTAACTGCACCTGTTTGAACTCGTTACCTGTATAAAAGACACCTGTCCACACACTCAATCAAACAGACTCCAACCTCTCCACAATGGCCAAGACCAGAGAGCTGTGTAAGGATATCAGGGATAAAATTGTAGACCTGCACAAGGCTGGGATGGGCTACAGGACAATAGGCAAGCAGCTTGGTGAGAAGGCAACAACTGTTGGTGCAATTATTAGAAAATTGAATAAGTTCAAGATGACGGTCAATCACCCTCGGTCTGGGGCTCCATGCAAGATCTCACCTCGTGGGGCATCAATGATCATGAGGAAGGTGAGGGATCAGCCCAGAACTACACGGCAGGACCTGGTCAATGACCTGAAGAGAGCTGGGACCATAGTCTCAAAGAAAACCATTAGTAACACACTACGCCGTCATGGATTAAAATCCTGCAGCGCACGCGAGGTCCCCCTGTTCAAGCCAGCGCATGTCCAGGCCCGTCTGAAGTTTGCCAATGACCATCTGGATGATCCAGAGGAGGAATGGGAGAAGGTCATGTGGTCTGATGAGACAAAAATAGAGCTTTTTGGTCTAAACTCCACTCGCCGTGTTTTGGAGGAAGAAGAAGGATGAATACAACCCCAGGAACACCATCCCAACTGTGAAGCATGGAGGTGGAAACATCATTCTTTGGGGATGCTTTTCTGCAAAGGGGACAGGACGACTGCACCGTATTGAGGGGAGGATGGATGGGGCCATGTATCGCGAGATCTTGGCCAAAAACCTCCTTCCCTCAGTAAGAGCATTGAAGACGGGTCATGGCTGGGTCTTCCAGCATGACAACGACCCGAAACACACAGCCAGGGAAACTAAGGAGTGGCTCCATAAGAAGCATCTTTCCCCCTTCTGATAACCAGGTGGCGAATCACATCTCTGCATGTCTGGCAGACATATCAGTATGGATGACGGATCCCCACCTCAAGCTGAACCTTGGCAAGACGGAGCTGCTCTTCCTCCCGGGGAAGGACTGCCCGTTCCATGATCTCGCCATCACGGTTGACAACTCCGTTGTGTCCTCCTCCCAGAGTGCGAAGAGCCTTGGCGTGACCCTGGACGACACCCTGTCGTTCTCCGCTAACATCAAGGCGGTGACCCGATCCTGTAGGTTCATGCTCTACAACATTCGGAGAGTACGACCCTGCCTTACACAGGAAGCGGCACAGGTCCTAATCCAGGCACTTGTCATCTCCCGTCTGGATTACTGCAACTCGCTGTTGGCTGGGCTCCCTGCCTGTGCCATTAAACCTCTACAACTCATCCAGAATGCCGCAGCCCGTCTGGTGTTCAACCTTCCCAAGTTCTCTCACGTCACCCGCTCCTCCGCACACTCCACTGGCTTCCAGTTGAAGCTCGCATCTGTTACAAGACCATGGTGCTTGCCTATGGAGCTGTGAGGGGAACGGCACCTCTGTACCTTCAGGCTCTGATCAGTCCCTACACCCAAACGAGGGCATTGCGTTCATCCACCTCTGGCCTGCTGGCTCCCCTTCCTCTGCGGAAGCATAGTTCCCACTCAGCCCAGTCAAAACTGTTCGCTGCTCTGGCACCCCAATGGTGGAACAAGCTCCCTCACGACGCCAGGACAGCGGAGTCACTCACCACCTTCCGGAGACATTTGAAACCCCACCTCTTTAAGGAATACCTGGGATAGGATAAAGTAATCCTTCTACCCCCCCCCCCACTGGCTATAGGGTGAATGCACCAATTTGTAAGTCGCTCTGGATAAGAGCGTCTGCTAAATGACGTAAATGTAAATGTACATCTCAAGGTCCTGGAGTGGCCTAGCCAGTCTCCAGACCTGAACCCAATAGAACATCTTTGGAGGGAGCTGAAAGTCCGTATTGCCCAGCGACAGCCCCGAAACCTGAAGGATCTGGAGAAGGTCTGTATGGAGGAGTGGGCCAAAATCCCTGCTGCAGTGTGTGCAAACCTGGTCAAGACCTACAGGAAACGTATGATCTCTGTAATTGCAAACAAAGGTTTCTGTACCAAATATTAAGTTCTGCTTTTCTGATGTATCAAATACTTATGTCATGCAGTAAAATGCAAATTAATTACTTAAAATCATACAATGTGATTTTCTGGATTTTTGTTTTAGATTCCGTCTCTAGCAGTTGAAGGGTACCTATGATACAAATTACAGACCTCTACATGCTTTGTAAGTAGGAAAACCTGCAAAATCGGCAGTGTATCAAATACTTGTTCTCCCCACTGTAATAATGTGGTAAAACATGGATCATAGACATACATGTGAAAACATTTACCATAGGAATCTATTCTATTTGATTGACTCTATTACATTGATTGATGGACCACGATGCCAAGCTCTTTCCAAAAGCCTAATCTCTGATGAAGCAGGCCAAATAAAGTTGTTTTTTATTGTTGCATTTTAGCTAACCCTAACCTTCACCCTTTTCCTAACCTTAACCTAATTATCCTAACCTGCTACTTGAATTATCCTAACCTGCTGCGTAAGTTCACCGAACCTGCTACGAAAAAGTCAAATCTGACAAAATATGTTTTATTTCTAGTCAAAACCCGCTCCCGCTGTCCCGATTACAATGTTGGCTGCTTCCACTGCAGGTGTTATATAGCCTACTATTGCGGCTGCTACAGCTCAGCGCAGTCCGGTCAAAGAGCGCCATCGTCTGCCTCTATATATATATCGCTCCCCTTGACTTTCCCCTTCACATTAGTGCATGCATCCAGAGCAGCAGAGGTTTCATTCGATCCTGGCCGCTATAGCTGAAGAACGCGAGATAACAGGGGCCTGGCAATGATCTCACTGGACTTCAATTTTTATGTTTTGACAAGGGACCTGTCCCTTTATCTGGAAAATCAAGTGAAAGTTGGACTTTTTGGATCTGGAGTACTGTCACTGGTGCTCGGCTTCAGCGCAGCTTATGCCTACTATTACTTGATCTCTGTCGCGAAGGTAGGGGGGGTCACAGAGGCTGCTTTGAATAATTATTATTTGGGATACATTGTAACCGGCAACTTGTCTTGTAATTATTCGAATGTGGCATAAAGGTTATTATGAGGACTATTGCTCGCGCTTTTGCGCATCAAGCCGGCTCAGTTGCTGCATGGTTTGCTGAGGGGGCGGATTTATTACAGTAGCATACGTGCATCTGCGGTACTGCACATGCGATATAATGACATATCTCAATTAAATGCTATCGTATGATTTTTCTCCAGACTAAATGTGAAAATTCAAAATGTGTACAATTAGGCCTAGGTTACATATTTACAAATGTTTAATTGCTATTTAGGCCGCAGATATTTTATAGAGAGTCCTTTGTTGGTTTTGTAATCTGAAATGTCGATCATGTAGGCTCGTTTTTGCTATTGTTATACAAGCTGTCAGAAATCTTCATGCAGTGTTTGTTCTTTACCTACTGTAGTTATACTGCATATTCAGAAATTAATGGATTTTCCAATATTCGATTTCCCCCATAATGAAATGCATAGGCCTATATAACATTAGGCGAATGTTTGATTATAATAACACCTACTAGAACAGCCTTGCATTCTATTCTTTGTTATACAGGTTCAGAGATATGCTGAACATGTATATGGGCCTTTATGCTCTGATAGGACAGATGTGTTTGATATTGTGGTGACCTCATATAATCCCAGTTACAACACTGCCTACTGTCACTGTGTTCTCATGACCTCTCCTTCATCTCCACTAGTGACTGCAGAATGTCCCTAAAACTCACCAAAACATTTTATCTTTTCTGACACTTTACACAGTCCTCTAGACAAAAATTAGGGCAACATAAAATATTGAGATTCCAGTCTTGATATTGCATTACAATTACACTATAGTTGTTGAGATCCTTCCTTTGGAATATGATGCACCATGAATGCAAAGACACTAGGCAAATAACAATATGGAACAATGAAATATGACTCATGTTGACATGTCATTTATGAAAGTGCAAGACAAAGATAATTCGATATCATGTGATTTAAGTGACGAGGCTGCACTATGTTATCAAGGGTATTGTAAGGGTGGGGTGGTGTAGATTGTGAATGATGAAGTATAATGAACTGTTTTCAGGAGATTGTTTGTCATCAGTAGTATACATTGTGTTAGTTCAATTTAGGAAAGGCACAACAATGTATCTTTGACTTGCATGGCCAGACATTCCTCCTCCATTTCTCCTCAATAATGTCATTATTTGAAAGCCACATCACTCACTCACACTGTTCATGTCTTGTATTGCAGAAGCCCCAACTGATTTCTGGTGGTAAGAAGTTCTACCAGTTCCTGCGGGACCAATGTCCCGTGGTGTCAGAGACCTACTACCCCACCTTCTGGTGCTGGGAGAGCCGGATCCAGACACTGCTTAGACCATTCGTCACAGCTAAACCGGGGGTCAGCTACAGAAAGTAAGACTTTTATAGGATCAGAAGTGATGGTAGTAGTGTTATTGTTGAAACAAGTATCTCAAAATGAACATATTGCTGAGAGGATCTTCAGCATGTGAAGGGAATGGGTTTCCCTGGTCTGATGGTGAAATGGAACTGGGTGAACTGGAATTCAACTGGAGAAATAGGTTTAAACTCATGGAGCTCATGTCTTATAAGAGAGAAGCCTGTTGCATGGTGTTAGTTAAAAAATACACCTGTATGCAGGGCCATGCACAGACCTTTTGGTGGGCATGTAAAAATAAAAAAAGCCATCCTAACATTTTATTTTCCTGCAACCACAGTCACAGACTCTTTGAACAATTATTACTTTCATTATTTAGTTACATAAAGCAATAGATGGCCATATCTTAATGGTACATTTAAATGACACAAATAAATATATTTTTACTGTATATATTATGATATGAACATGAAAGGCTTTTAAAGATTACTTCAGTTGTCATATGCTCTATTCCTCTATCATTCTGTTAGGCTAAATATATGCTATTGTTGTATCATTTGCAAAAGATTTGGTTAACATGTTTTATGTGTGTCATTGAGAAGAGGGAAGCAGCTCAATCTTATGAGCAAAGTATTTTGTAAAACTATTTTGAACTGGAATAAATGCTGCATTTATTAACAATGACAAACACAATTCCAGTCAAAATTCTAAGAAAACTGTAGCCTACCATTACTAAATCCAACCCAATTCCATTTTTACCACTATCATGCATCCTACCTGGCTGAAGCTTTGATCCAGTGGAAGAAGTATTGAGGAGCAGGGAGGTTGAAGGTCACTTCAGGGATACAGCTGCTGCTCTACACTATCCCTAAATAAGATAAATAAACCAGCAAATGAATAGAATATTGTGAGAAATACTCTAGCCTACAATTACTACACCCTGTATTACTTTACTATAGCCTACCATTCCCTAAATAAGAGAGCATGGTGATCACTGATGATGACTGATAATGCTGTTAGCAATCAGACTCATTAGGCTACCATATGCTACAGTTGCTAGATTGCTAGATTAGTAGATTATTATTTTTAATACAGATTGTGATTTATCACCAATTCTCTTAAATATGTGGCAAAGTTCAAGGGTCACTTAGCCTAGTGACCAGGTAATCCACTTCCTGCAGCAGACGTTATCCACTCATCACCAGTTACCAACAGTAGTCAATGCACCTGCTATCCTCAGGCTAGGGAATCTCCCATGGTTAGTCAGTGCCCTGAGTCTTTCCTTGCCACGTGATCTGACAAGGAACAACTCTGGGCCCTAGTTAAAGGGTATGGGAATTTAGCACTAAGTTTTTCCTGGTCAGGTCACATAATTGGTCAAGGTAAAATAAACTCATGGTTAACATCAAACTCAAATGCTCAGTTTCCACTGTAGTCAGCAGCCAAAACAAACAAAAATGTCTCAACATTTCATCATTATATATGCATGAACTGTTTCGACTGGGAAGCATACAGTAAAGTAGTGGAAAAGTTCTTGCTGTGTTAAGAACAGGCGTCACCTTCCTTACACTGTTGATTGTTTTATTATTAGGCTTTAGCAGTTGGTTTGATCAAGTACTGAAATGTGCCCGTTATTTAACGTTTCACAACGTTAAACAAATCTCCCCACTGGGCACACACTAGTTGAATCAATGTTGTTTCCACGTCATTTCAATCAAATTAGAATAGACGTTGAATTGACGTCTGTGCCCAGTGGGTCCCACCTCTTGTCCTTAGTCAAGACAGCAGCAGAAACGTGAAAGGAATCTTTTGTGTGATGGTTTTGGCTCAGGCAACCGCTGCTACTTTAATTCATTCTGTTAGAGATTAATGGCAGGGTGTCCCAGGCCTTCTGCATTTATTAGGTGGGTTGAAATTAATTAAAAGGAGTTGGGGGTAGTTAGTATATATACAGTGCCTTTGGAAAGTATTCAGACCCCTTGACTTTTTCCACATTTTGTTACGTTAGTTACAGCCTTATTCTAAAATATTCTAAAATGTTCTCTAATCAATCTACACACAATACCCCATAATCACAAAGCAAAAACAGATTTTTAGAGATTTTTGCAAATGTATTAACATTTTAAAACAGAAATATCACATTTACATAAGTTTTCAGACCATTTACTCAGTACTTTGTTGAAGCACCTTTGGCAGTCACAGACTCTTTGAGCAATTATTAATTTTATTATTTAGTTACATAAAGCAATAGATGGCCATATCTTAATGGCAAATTTAAATGACACAAATAAATATATTTTTACTGTATATATTATGATATGAACATGAAAGGCTTTTAAAGATTACTTCAGTTGTCATATGCTCTATTCCTCTATTATTCTGTTAGGCTAAATCGATGCTATTGTTGTATCATTTGCAAAGATAAACTCATGGTTAACATCAAACTCAAATGCTCAGTTTCCACCGTAGTCAGCAGCCAAAATGAACAAAAATGTCTCAACATTTCATCAAAATATATGCATGAACTGTTTCGACTGGGAAGCATACAGTAAAGTAGTGGAAAAGTTCTTGCTGTGTTAAGAACAGGCGTCACCTTCCTTACACTGTTGATCGTTTTATGATTACAGCATCGAGTCTTCTTGGGTATGACACTACAAACTTGGCACACCTGTATTTGGGGAGTTTCTCCCATTATTCTCTGCAGATGCTCTCAAGCTCTGTCAGGTTGGATGGGGAGTGTTGCTGCATAGCTATTTTCAGGTCTCTCCAGAGATGTTTGATCGGGTTCAAGTCCGGGCTCTGGCTGGGCCACTCAAGGACGTTCAGAGACTTGTCCCTAAGCCACTCCTGCGTTGTCTTGGCTGTGTGCTTAGGGTCGTTGTCCTGTTGGAAGGTGAACCTTCACCCCAGTCTGAGGTCCTGAGCTCTCTGGAGCAGGTTTTCATCAAGAATCTCTCTGTACTTTGCTCCGTTCATCTTTCCCTCGATCCTGACTAGTCTCCCAGTCCCTGCCGCTGAAAAACATCCCCACAGCATGATGCTGCCACCACCATGCTTCACCGTAGGGATGGTGCCAGGTTTCCTCCAGACGTGACGCTTGGCATTCAGGCCAAAGAGTTCAATTTTGGTTTAATCAGACCAGATAATCTTGTTTCTCATGGTCTGAGAGTCTTCAGATGCCTTTTGGCAAACTCCAAGTGGGTTGTCATAATAATATAATAATAATATGCCATTTAGCAGACGCTTTTATCCAAAGCGACTTACAGTCATGCGTGCATCCATTTTTACGTATGGGTGGTCCCGGGGATCGAACCCACTACCCTGGCGTTACAAGCGTCATGATCTACCAATTCAGCTACAGAGGACCACATATGCCTTTTACTGAGGAGTGGCTTCCGTCTGGCCACTCTACCATAAAGGCCTGATTGGTGGAGGGCTGCAGAGATGGTTGTCCTTCTGGAAGGTTCTCCCATCTCCACAGAGGAACTCTAGAGCTCTGTCAGAGTGACCATCGGGATCTTGGTCACCTCCCTGACCAAGGCCCTTCTCTCCCGATTGCTCAGTTTTGCTCTAAGAAGAGTCTTGGTAGTTCCAAACTTTCTCCGTTTAAGAATGATGGAGGCAACTGTGTTCTTGGGGACCTTCAATGCTGCAGAAGTTTTTTGGTAGCCTTCCCCAGATCTGTGCCTCGACACAATCCTGTCTCGGAGCTCTATGGACAATTCCTTCACCTCATGGCTTGATTTTTGCTCTGACATGCACTGTCAACTGTGGGACCTTATATAGATAGGTGTGTGCCTTTCCAAATCATGTCTAATCAATTGAATTTACAACAAAGATGATCAATGTAAACAGGATGCACCTAAGCTCAACTTTGAGTCTTATAGCAAAGGGTTTGAATACTTATGTAAATTTAGTATTTCAGTTTTTAAGGTTTTATACATTTGCATAAATGTCTAACAATCTGTTTTTGCTTTGTCATTTTGGGTATTGTGTGTAAATTGCTGAGATTTTTTATTTATTTCATCCATTTCAGAATAAGGCTGTAACGTAACAAAATGCGGAAGAAGTCAAGGGGTCTGAATACTTTCCGAAGGCACTGTATATATATATATATATAGTACCAGTCAAAAGTTTGGACACACCATTCTTTATTTTTATTATTTTCTACATTGTAGAATAATAGTGAAGACATCAAAACTATGAAATAACACATATGGAATCATGTAGTAACCAAAAAAGTGTTAAACAAATCAAAATATATTTTCTATTTGAGATTCTTCAAATAGCCACCTTTTGCCTTGATGACAGCTTTGCACACTCTTGGCATTCTCTCAACCAGCTTCACCTGGAATGCTTTTCCAACAGTCTTGAAGGAGTTCCCACATATGCTGAGCACTTGTTGGCTGCTTGTCACGATCGTCATTCATAGAGGAGGACCAAGGCGCAGCGTTGAATGCGAACATTTTATTTATTAGAATGATCACACGATCAAAACAACAAAACGAAACGTGACGTCCCTGGTTACATAAACAAACCAACACGGAACAAGAAACCACAAATAATGAATGCCTAACGGCTACCTAAGTATGACTCCCAATCAGAGACAACGAGCTACAGCCGTCTCTGATTGGGAGCCACCCTGGCCAACATAGATATACAACAACTAGAACATAAACAAATGAAAACTCACACCCTGGCTCAACATACTAGAGTCCCCAGAGCCAGGGCGTGACAGTACCCCCCCCTAAAGGCGCGGACTCCGACCGCGCCAACCAAATACAACAGGGGAGGGACCGGGTGGGCACTCCGCCTCGGCGGCGGATCCGGCTCCGGACATGACCCCCACTCCTTCTCTAACCCCCCAAAGTACCCCTGGTCCGGTCTGGCCCTGCTGACCAGAGCTGAACTGAACACTGGTGGAGCGGATTGCTCTAGCTCCGGCGTGACGCAGCACCTGACCGGTGCCGGACCCGCCACCGGTGGAACAGGCACGGGCCGTGCCGGACTGACGACGCACA